CGCGGGGAAACCCCAATGGATTATCAAATGAAGCAACGTTAGCAGATGGGGTCCCATGATAAACGATGACCAAGAATACGTTCACACGTCATTGTTGTCTCAGCATTATCTTGGAGCACATGTTTACGATTGGTTTGTAGTCAGGGTTTTCAAACTCTCCTATGTACATTTTCGTACCCCACTAACGTGATTCGAGTCCCGTCTAGACATTCGTTTTTTGTCCATAAGCAAGAGCCCCGCCACGAGAAAGTAATGGTTAGTTCCCTAGTAGTGGCTATACATGCTTGGCCGCATAAAAGTATTTTGATAGGGAGAGTGAACTATCCCCTCACTCTCGATCGTAAAACAGGGCAGTTACATATCAGTGTAGAGGGATCGTAGAGATTACGAACAGATTGAAAATAGACAACTAGTGTTTCGAAAAAGCACAGATTGTCTGAGAAGTGTGCACGCACAATCTTACAAAGAGTAAAATACAAGATAACTAGACTTTGTGGAGAGCAGTTTATCTTCAAACTACACAGTTAGTATTCAGTGATATATACATTTCTATTTCCAGTAAATTCGTTGTCAACTGCTTCTCGGGTATTTAATAGTTGCCTAACAGTAATCAGTAGTCTGTGCTGTACACCAGAGAATTAGTGAGTAACCTATTTAAATGTATATTTAGGAAAGAGGTGACCAAGTAATAGATGTCGACTTTTTCATAGTTTTTAATTATTATATGAGAAAGTGAGCCAATTAGAAGTGGCTGCTAAATGAGAGGGCCATTTGATGGCTATCAGACAATGTCATAAAGGACGAATACGAGGAAGGTCAAGGAATGGCTTCCTTTCCCAAAGAGATGTAATTTATACGTATATATTTTCTTTTCAGTAACAAAATACACTATCTTTACAACTCCAGTCTTCTCGCTCAGAACATCAGTCAGCCAGTCGCAACCTAGAACTTCGTACGTATGTACATAAGTTCAGGTTGCCTTACCGCACTAGCACAGAGACGCAAATGTCAAATCAAATCCCATAGTGATAAAGATAGTAGAGGTATTAATGGTAGTGAAGAAGACTAGGGTTCGAAGATATTATTCAAGAAGTATAATTCAGTGAGATAAGGTTAGAAAGACAAAGGTAGAGGTGCTGAGAAATTCAGAAGGTTGGGATTTGAGAGAACACAAAGAATGAATGCATCGGCGCCATTGCAAACAATTTTGAGCCATGTCGTTCAAGGTCTCTAACCATTGGTGACTTTCGTCTCGCGGACCCCCAACCAGGTAGCCTACATCTACCAACATGACTCAGTCCAGTTATCAGTGACTTCATGGATTTCTGCTATGTTTTGGTTTGGCCGCCCCTAACTTTCTTCCAACCTACTCCTACACCACAAAACATATCTCGTCGAGGCAGTCGGTGTCGGGGATTCGTAACACATATCCCAGCCGCCTCAACTGATGAAGTTTCAATACTTCGTCTACTGATTTGCCATCTCTACCTAACACTCGTTTCCTAACGACAGTATTGCTTACTCGGTCCTCCCATGATATACGAGCAATGCTTCTTAAACATCTATGATCGAATACTAGTAACCTACGAACATCTTCTACTCTTAACGGTCATGTCTCGCATCCATGTAGGAGAACGGAGCAAACTGCTGCGCAGTGCACTCGTCCTTTAGTTAGCGAACTGATATCTCACCTACCCCCTAAACGGCGTAAACTGCCAAAAGCCAATCGAGCTTTCTGTCACTGCGCTGAGATTTCGTCAGTCACCAAGTGACACGTTTCTTGTCTGAAGCACCGCACATCACAATACATTATTACTCTGAAGACAATTCGTTAAAGAGAATAAAACTCTCCTCTCATAAAAATCAGACTTCAACATAATGAAATCAGAAAAAAAAAAGAAAGTCCAAGGCACTTACACCTTTAGGAAGTGATTTCACTTGTTTTTCATGTGTTGTTGATAAATGTTTTAATTTACTACGTAATTCAGCTTGTGTTTTTTGTAAAGCTAAAGCTTCAGGTGTTTCTAATAGAATATCACTTTCATTTAATATATTTGAATTATCTTTATTATTATCATCCGATGATGGATCTAATTCAGTGGATAAACCATTTGATGAAATTGGATGAAATTTATCTAATAAACTTTGTCCATAAATTTTATAATGTAATTGAATCTATGAACGAAAAAAAATACAAAAACATAAACATAGTAGGAGTGTAATTTTTATGAGTAGATAATATTATTCTACAATACCAGTATTCAACAGTGAGTAGCTTTGAGAGGGAATTGTTATAGTTCTAATGAAAGGGTATGTTACGCTTGCACGTAAACACGTCATTTTGATATGCTTGAACTATTACGAGTTTACCTAGTCAGAAAACGAGAGCAAGGATCCGGCGACACAGCATGCTACTCAAATCCGATTATCCCAACCCCCATATTGAGTGAAAATAAGAAGACAAGACTTGATATGAAGTAGAACCTGTATTCTACAAGCATCCAGAAAGTACGAGGTTCGAATCCAGAAGAGAATCAGGATCCCGGACTAGGGGTCCAGGATCGGGTCCTGGTCCTGGTCACAAAACGTTACAGATAATGCATTTATACATTTAGGTCAAATAGGAAACAGCATCGAACTCTGTGACATTGACAGTTAAGACGACCGATAGGAAGTAACATTTGAAGTGATATTGATAGTCAGGACAACCAATAAGAAACAACATTGTAGCACGTGACATTGATATTTAGGACGACCATAAAATTGACCAGTAGGAATTAACCAATATGAATAGACCAATAATTCTCTTAGGATATTGGATGAATATCCTAACAGGGTTAGGGTTAGGGTCAGATATGTGGCAGACGATGGATGTTAGTCGCTCAAAATCACCATCGAATCCCAGTTAAGTGGTCTAGAGGTTAAGTGTTCGCGTACGAGGTCAACAGTACTGAGTTCGATCTTTCTACATAGGATCGTGGATGCGCACCGATGACGAGTCCTACAGTAAGTCGAAACGGCCATTCAGTGCATCCAGGTTCTGGAGGGTGGTCCATCATCAATCTGTTCATGATTTTGATAAAATTAACTATGTTTCATCATGGTGCCAGACAGTGGTAAAGACGAATTTCATAGATTTGATGAGAACATCAATGCACTCTATGAGTAATCAACAATTTTTTAATAGTAATAATATCATAATTAAAGACTTTATTTTTATAGCCTAAAGCAAGGACAGTTATGATACAAACGACATTTTGAATACATCTTCTTTGAAACTCGGAAAGATTGTAGTTGTGTTTCATCCTCTGAGCTGGACGTTTTGGTTGTGAAGCTTTCATTGTTTTGTTTCTGAACAACATGATCAGCATAAACTTCAGAAAGAATATTGAAGTATTCGAATGTTGTTGTCCGAATGATGTTGTTCAGGAGAACAATGAAAAGTTCACAACCAAAACATCCAGCTCAGAGAACGAAACACCTCCACAATCATCCACAAGAGGTACAAATTTTCTCCACCATTTCAATTCGGAAAGAGTAAAAAGACATTAAGGTGTTAGTAAACCTCTCATATATAACATTTTTCAACAGATAATCTCAGAATTTACGTGACAGACTTAATTTCACAAGATATACTCTATCAGATACTGAGCGCTTAAATTTAGCAGTAAAATGGCAGGTCCACAATGTCTCAATGACAGCAGTTTTGATTTATTTTGTCCAATCTGACCTTCTTTAAATTGACGATATTAAGGAACTCTACGTGTTTAATTACCGCCATTTCCGAAGGATAGTTGACATTCAGTAGCAACATCATATTAGTAATGCTGAGATTTGGCAATGTATGTTTAGTCACAGAGACGATTATTTCAGTTAATGTTACCGTCTTGAAACACCAACTTCAGTAGCTTGGATGTGTACTACGAATGTGTCATGCTGGTGAATTCTATACCGTGCATTAGTTTTCATCGCTGGAACTGGTTATAAAAAGCGAATAGATGATCAATATATGACATGGTATTACTCTATAAAAGAAAGTTGTACAACACTAGTATTTGTTAGTCCTTCACGATTCTCTAGTTGGAGTATTAGAGGTAGTGAAACTCACTGGCTTGAAACGTTATCAGACATGGCTCATAGTAGAAGTCAGTGGAAGTCCAGTTATAAGTTTCTTTGCTTCCTTCTTCATAAAACAAAGAGAAACTTCTTTAACGAAATAAATTCTTTCTGTTTATTTCTGTGTGGCACACACAAAAACATATTTTGGTGTCTTTTTGTACCGGTATGTTATGTTCGTCACTAGGTATGCTTGAAGCTATTACGAGTTTACCTTAGTCGATAAACGCGAACGAGACAATTACCAGCGTCCAGATAGGCTACCTTAAATTCCAAGCTGTAACAGAAGAAAGTATATTCTACAAACACCCAGCAATCACACAATACAATCAAGCACACAACTCTCGTTTATTATTTATACATCACAGAAACGTCCTTGTGACAGTTACAAAAATAGCACACTAAAATACACAGCAGCCAATCACAACCATGGATTTTCCTGGTGGGAAATGAAATCTCTACGTCAACTGATCAGCTCATGCTCGCAAACATGAAATCCAAAATTAAGACATTTATCAAGCGAGTTTTGGGGATCTAACATCCCCAACAGTATTTACGTGTTTTAAATGAAATAAAAATACATTTTAACAATCATAACACACAGTACGGTATCATATAATCAGCATACAAAGTAATTTAATAAAACAACGTTTCATTATGAAATAACTTACAACTTCTTTAAGTGACCATGGAGTTCCTAATTCTTTATAAGTAAAACCCATATAACAAACAGAACCGTCTAGTGAACAAGCCATTAATTCACAACCATCAGCACTCCTTCATAATAATAATAATAATAATAATAATAATAATAATAATAATAATAATAGAATATTATTAAATAAAAACACTTTAATTAAATAATTTAGAGATTTATTTTTCTTGAGGGCGCGGATTGGCAAAGCAAGGGCTGCATTTCTACAGTTGAAAAATATCTGGAACTCCAAACAACTTTCAACCAAAACCAAAATCACGATTTTCAATACAAATGTCAAGACAGTCGCACTGTATGCAGAGGAAACTTGGAGAACTACAAAAGCCATCATCCAGAAGATACAAGTGTTTATTAACAGTTGTCTAAGCAAAATACTTCGGATTCGTTGGCCAGACACCATCAGCAACAATGTACTGTGGGAGAAAACAAACCAGATTCCAGTGGAGGAGGAAATCAGGAAGAAGCAGTGGAAGTGGATAGGACACACACTGCGTAAAGCATCTAACTGCGTCACGAGACAAGCCCTCACATGGAACCCTCAAGGTGAAAGGAAAAGAGGAAGGCCGAAGAACACACTACGCCGAGAAGTAGAGAAAGATATGAGAGGAATGAACAAACATTGGACAGAACTGGAAAAGGAAGCCCAGGACAGAGTTGGTTGGAGAAAACTGGTGGGCGGCCTATGATCCATTGGGGGTAACAGGCGTAAGTAAGTAAGTAAGTAATTTTATTTCTTAAGTTTTAATTATTATTATTATTATCATAGATTGTTCATCCCAAATTTTATTGAATAATGCAAAATAGGGAGAATACTACTTGGCTGAAAAGTTAAAAGATAAAAATGTCGTCTCTAAAAGTATATTAATGACAAAGTTGAATAAGAATAGAGGAAGTGGATAGTTCAGACGATAATCACTTAAAGTAATCAATACGAATGACAGTTTGCCGTAAGCTCTCACTAGACCAACAGTGTTTAATGTACTTCTTTGGTACTGCTTCCAGTGACAGATACTTCACAGAACTTCACGATCAACAGAGTCAAACGCCGCCTTAAGGTCGAGTAATACAACTGTTGTCGGACGTTTGGGTGTGTGTTCGTGTTCTAGGAGCTGACGAAATATAGATATTTGATCAATACATAGAATGGAGATACTACTTGGATAATCAAGCCAAAAAAAACGATAAATAAGTTAACTCTCAATCATTAATCAGATACGCTGGTATACACGAGACTCAGAAGAGTCTGTTCTGTTTCTTCAAATACTCTAATGTGGCCGCGCTTATGTAGCTACCACCAAGGAAGTCCTACTTATTGACTTCTTTTGGCGAAGGTGATAATTATGAAGTTCAGAGGACGAAAAGCGTATGTCCGGTCGAGTCTCAAACCAAGTTGGCAAGTGCCAAGAATCTACTTAGGGTAGTAGATAAAACTTGATTACAAACAAATGGTGCACATGTGTTAAAGCATCCTGAGAAAACAAATGGTTACCGGTTACCATGAGACTGGGTCTCCTAACGTTGCTTCGTTGCCTTGTGGGTTAGATCTGTAGATTAAAAGCTTAGAGATTTGCTTCAGTTTAAATAGTATTAACTATCATGCATAAAAAGTAACGCTCAAAAGCCGAGAAAATTAGCAATAAAAGTAGTCTAATGAGTAGGACAAACTATTTTTTTATGCTGCATGTTTTTACCTCTTTCACTAATCTTATTTGTTAATAATAAGAGACACACTGTATTCACACACAAATGGTCTGTTTGGATAATTTTTAGTTAACGTACTTGTAACTGACAAATACAAAATCTTATCGTTTACCTGCATCGGCATTATAAAACAGGTTCCGAAAAAAAAACAGATAGACAATCAATTATAAGCCAAGTAGAATCCGGTTACATATATCTCCATTCATACAATTCAGCATACCGAAACACGGAATTATCAAGAAGTCGTAGTAGTTGATCAAGGTAAGCCAATTAAAAACATCAATTCAAGGTCAAATGAGAGATGTTGACAGATGCATCCTTCGGCTTAATTTTTTTGAAAGAAACCTATCTATTATGAGTGAATACGTATTTGTATGTTATTTTGATTTAGTAATCCAATAAATTTTCCTATTCAACTGGGTTGAGCAAATAAATATATCGGAAGTTTTAAAATTCAGTAGGCGACTAAGACGGCTATCCGACACAATAATAGTAGTGATATCATCATGTCATTCAAAGTATTTTAAAAAATATTTTTTTTTTGAAATTCAAAATGGACAGCAAGATGAAAGTTGAATTGATTTGCACCATTGTGACCGATTTTAAGTCATGTTACCCAATATATTTAACTAGTGAACAGAAT